ATAAATGATACAACGAATATGTTGTAATGAGATAATTTGACGCAAAATTTAATAGCTCTTAACAAAAGCCACTAAACCAAAAAAATTAAAAGTAATTGCAGTTCAGTACTTAAAAATTTAATTATAGTGAAATATTTTATTATAGTGAATATAGTAATTGTAGTTCAAAATTTTATTATAGCACATTTTATTATAGTGCGTTGGTTTTTGCAAGGAAACCTTATATAAATCATTTTTTAATTTTGATATAAACTAATTTTTTTCAAAACTAAGTTGCGCTTAACCATCTCTGTTTAAACAATGTATATATAAACAAATATGTTGATAATTTATACATATATTGTTTATAAAATGTCAAAAATTCACTTATATAACGTTTTATTCAGGATCGTATGTAACATAAGTAAAGTTTTCTAACAATGACAAGTCTATTTTGCTCAAGCTGTTGTGTTTTGATTTATGTTTTAGTTATTGCTTTAGTTTTTTTTTTTTTTTTTTTTATTTATAATTTAGTTATTTGATTTATGTTTTAGTTATGTTATTATATTTAAATATATTGAGAAGATTGAAAATACAAAACATATTGTCACTTCCGAGTAAAACATTAAAAACTAAAATTTCTCTTAACAAATTCTAATTGCTAAAATTATGTCATCTGCTTCCTAGACCTTTAAAAATGATAGTCATAACAATAAGATTTTGTTTAATTTTTTAAAAAAACTCTACCTATTAAAGATATATGGAATATATTTTTGTTGGATATATTTTAATAAATTCAAAAACTATAATCTCTTATCCGAGAAAATAATATATATGTACCAGTTTTATATCTTTTAATGCATTTGTATGCAACATAATGAAAATTGATTTAAAAATGTAAGATGAAAATACAAAAAGGAACTTGACGCATAAAGGTTTATTTTGCCACAAACTGATATCAATGCCCAAAATCTTTTTGGCTCAACTTTTAGATAAGCGTTTATATTATTCTCAATTTCTTAATCATAACAATTGATTTTTTTTATGACTTTGGTTTAGTGCTTCGATCTGCTCAGATCTTCTTAATTCCATTTGTATAGCATTACATTCAAACGTATATAGCATATGTTGAGTTTGCAGGTATTATAGGAATATTCGTGTATATCTATATATCTATTAAATGAGAAAACTTGAAAATTTTATTTTAAATTTTAGAAATTTTTGTTTCTATATTATTAGTTTTTTGCTATGAATATGTAAGTGAATATCAAGCAATATTGAAAAAATTTCAAAATTCATTACACTAAGAGGAGGTCTTAAACCCTCCAAAACAACACTGATGACAGCGCATTTAACCATTACGCTATCAATGAAATGCATTTAGCTGAAAAAAAAACCTAATTTTAAGTCTCTTATAAGCTCTACCTATGCGGAAAAGGTCCGCATGTTAAGTTTTTTGCTCTTAATTTTTTATTCAAAATAATTTATTTTACTATAAAATATTAAAGTAAATAAGGAATAGGTATAGAAATAATTGGCGAGAAATAGATATGTCAATTGGTAAAGATTTGTTTTATACGGATCTGAAAAGCTAGGATATATAAGAAAAATGTATTGAAAAATTCGATTTGGAATAGATATACAAAGACCCGTATTTTTACGGGTCCGATCTCAGCTAGTACTATTAAATAGTAGTAGTGAATAAATAATTCAAACTAAAACCACAATTTATATTTATGCCTTATCATTTTGTTAAATCCCAGTGACATTCCGCACAACACTTGGATAATGAATTTGCAATATTATGTCGATTCTCTAAGAAAGCAATTATTAGTTTTTAATTAAACTTTATAATTTTAAACTAACACTTAACTAAAAATATCAATAAACATTAAACACTTTCTTGAATTTTCTTGCATTAAAATAATTAAAAAATTTTTTTATTTTGTTGATTTGCTGATGGTTTGTTGATAGATTTACTCAGCGTTGTTGTATTTGCCGCAAAATTTGCTATTTGGGGTAAAGGAATAAATGATCATCATAACATGCTAAACATGCTGAACTAGATTAGCTCCGATGTTAAGCTTTGTTGCATGAATCCAAACAATTTTGGTATATCTATAACAACAACAAATAAAATGTATATACATGTAGCTTGTATACATATACATACATTGGCTGCAAGAGCAGGTCTAACTATGTTTACAATGTGTGTTTGCACCTTGTCTAAAAGAGAAAGGGCATCATTAGAAGATCCGCCCCAGATATGGCAATAGTATTCCATACAAGGCCGGATTTGAGATTTATAGAGATAAAGAATAGAATCCAGAGTATAAAAGTGTTGAGGTCAACAAAGACATGCAACTTTAGCAGATGCTAGTTTTGCAACGGATTTTATATATGGTTTCAAAAAAAGTTCAGAAGTAAGAGTTAATCCAGGTAGATGAAGGGTAGATGACTCATCGAGTACATTACCATTTATAAATATAGGTATGTTTAAATAATTGCGATAACGATTGTGCTGAAAAAAATTTTAAGTTTTATCTGAATTAAAGTTCACCAGCCACTGTGTGTTCCATGCTGTAGAAGAAGTGAGATCCTTTTCAAGCTCAAATCCCCCTCCAACCAATCAGAGAAAGTTTGCTTCTTATCATGACAAGAATAAATGGTAGCATCATCAGCGAACAATGCTACCTTAGATGTGAAAATATCTGAAAGATCGTTAATGTAAATTAAAAAGATTATAAGGCCAAGAATAGAACCTTAAAGAAACCCTGAGGTTACTTTAAACCCTGAGGTTACTAAGAAGAGCCTGACAATATTCTGGCGTTATTTCAGTAATCCAAGCTTGACGAATTTTGTATATATGTGTATATATATATATGTATATATATATATATATATATATATATATATATATATATATATATATATATATATATATATATATATATATATATATATACAGCTATTTACGAAAGTTTAAACTAGAGTGTAATTTTGATCAAGCAGGTTTATTTTTTTCTTATTAAAAAAATAAATAAAAATGATGTCGACTTAATTTTTTTTATTTGTTAAATAAAAAGTAATTTGGTTTAGAATAAATGTGAACTTGTAATGAAATGATTTATATAAATGTAAAAAAGTTAATTACAAACATAAACATGTGAAGAATGAGTAGCACAAAATTTAAACGAAATTTTACAAACGAATAAAAAATGGAACTAAAATGCCAAGTTAATATTAAAAATGTCCGCCTTTGTTTTTATAGCAAAGGTAAACTCGTTTCTGCATCGATTCAACTAATTTCATGCACATCTCTCGAGGTACCTTCAACCAGTACTCATTCAAAAGTTGCTTTAAGAGCTCAGTTGATTGTATTTGGTAATAAGTAAGTTGATTGTCAATCCAAGACCAAATATTTTCAATTGGGTTGAGCTGGTGATCTAGGGCACCAAGGGATCACATTTATCTTTTTCTGCAAAAAATATTCTTCGATTGATTTAGCTGTATGAGCTGGAGCCCCGTTTTGTTGAAAGATAAATTGCTTGCTTCTACCATACAACTGTCTGATTGATGGAATTAAACACGTTTCCAATGTATTTTTGTAGGTGGGCTAATTTATTCGGCCTTCGTACAGCTCACACATACCTTTGTGAGAAAAACATCCCCAAATACCAATGGAACCTCCGCCGCCTTTTCGACGTGGTTGCAAAAACCGTTCTGAATATTTCTCCGTTGCAAATCTTTTGACATATAATCTTCCCTTGCCGTTTACAACTTGAAAATTAGCTTCATCACTCCAAATAACTTTTAACCAGTCTTCAACAGTCCAGCTTAATCTTTCTTTAGACCATACTCGTCGTTTACGTCGGTCCATGATTGATAAAATAGGTTTTCTTTCTGCAATGTACGTTCCAATACCTTTTTGCAGCAATGTTCGCTTAACGAGCTTTCTGTATACATTATGTTTATTTTTCGACTCGTTGAAGATTTGTGCTAGCTCTTTGTAGCTGTGCCTAGAATTCTCTCTGCAGCTTCTGAATATGCTACTTTTTTCACGGTCACTAAGCTTTGATTGTCTCCCGGAACGCGGCATGTCAACGACGTCCTTGGTAAGCTTCCAGGTTTTGACTTTTTTTTGTACGCAAGATTCAGAAACCCCAAGTTTTTTGCCTATTTGAACGTTGCTGTGAATTTTTGACTTAAACATACCAATAATTTGCTATTTGATCTCATGTGAAACTGGTTTTCACCCCATTTGCACGCAATTCGAAATTGTTTGAAATTTGCAATGATTTCAGTTGATTTTCGTTGAATATGAAGCTGTTGAATAATGTTGTGACGATTTTTATTGAGTGAAATTCACTCAATCTACTTATGTTTATGTTTTAAAACAATTTTCGCAACGGATTAATTAATTACTTAACAAATAACTAAATTTTAATAAACTCGTTTAAACTTTTATAACACCAATTAATTTCTCACATCTAACTATTAATCAAATTCCCAAGAGATCACTTATGAGTCGAAACCTACTTTTTTTTATTTATTTTTGATCAGAAAACCTAGTTACCGATTGGGGAAAAAATATTTTGATATCTATTTCCGTTGCATTTTTTTTAAAGAAAAACCAAAGATTTGTTCTTAAAATTACACTCTCGTTTAAACTTTCGTGAATAGCTGTAAATATATATATATATATATATATATATATATATATATATATATATATATATATATATATATATATATATATATAGATAGATAAATAGATAGATAGATAGATATATATATATATATATATATATATATATATATATATATATATATATATATATATATATATATATATATATATATATATATATATATATATATATATATATATATATATATATATATATAGATATATATATATATATATATATATACATTTTTATATATATATATATATATATATATATATATATATATATATATATGCCGACTTTAAGACCTTTTATCTGATTTTTTTAACGTTATTCTAATTCTGAAGGTTGTATATGCAATGTCTGAAATGTCTGAATAATTGTAAACTAATCAATAACATTTTCAATGTATCTTATATACCCTGACTAATTATAACTCAGTTTTTATAAATCACTATCCATATAATAACTGTTTACTATTTTTAGTTATCGTTATTTATGTTGCAGTTATCAACTTAAATTAAAGTTTTATAATTAAAGTTTGAATGCAAAAGTTTATACCAATAAAATATTTTATCAGTATTTTAAACATAAGTATAAGTATTTTAAGTATATGTTATTATTATGTAAATTATGATATTATTATTAATATTACAAGCGTACAATTTTAAACCAGTCAAAAAATATCATTGATTAAAAAATGATGTTGATGCATTACAATAAAACCATTTTTTGCGTTTATATGTTAACATCTAATATTATGATCTGAAGGTGAGTAAACTTTGTTAGCATCAGCTATTTTGCTTGCATAAAATATAGAAAAATCAATGGGCATGACTGTATCTGTAAAACGATTTAAAAGCTTTAAACCAGGGGTCTGGAGTCGTAATAAAAAAGTAACGACTCCGATTCCAGTTGTTGAAATTTTTTGAGTGCAACTCCGACTCCAACTCCGACTCCAACTCCAAAGCAAAGTTTTTGAAAAATTCTTTGAATTCTTTAAAAAATGCTGCGCAATAAATTGAATTTTTTTTTTTTTGACAAACGTTCTTTGAGGTTTAGTATGAACATAAGGTTAATTAAATGTTTTGTACATGCACGTGCAATACCAAGAAATATTACTATCGGAGTCGGAGTCGCGATATTTTTTAGCGACTCCGACTCCGGCCATCTCTTTGTAGCACGCTTGCAAGAATATTCACGAACTAATTTATCTAATACATCCACACCGCTCTTTGTTTTGCTATAATACAGAACAACCTCTGGCTTATATTTCGCGTCTTCGTCTGCCACAGCATTTTCCCGATGCATGGTTGACATGAGTGTTACTGCCTTGCGAGGCTTTGGAATGTAAGAAACAGTTAGTGTATCTGGTGTGAGCATGAACAGTGAAGACTTCTCTTCACGGTGTGCAGCATTGAACAGTTCCTGAGGAAATCCAGCCGGGCCTTTGCGTACAATGCCAACGAGTGTAAGGCTCTTTTGCAGCAGTTTTTGTAATAATGAGACACTTGTAAAAAAATTATCAGTTGTCACGTTTCTGCCGGTGCCAAACAGATGACTAGTCAGGTCGAGTGTGACCCTTTTACCTTGTCCTCGCTCAGGAGCATTGCCAACCTTGCCACAGTACACCTGTAAATTTGAGCAATAGAAGTTGTCCGAATCGCAACACATCCAAATTTTAAGGCCATATTTCCCTGGCTTTGATGGGATGTAAACCTTAAAACCACATCTTCCTCTGAACGTACACAGTTGTTCATCAACAGTGACATTTGGTCCTGGAGCATACGCAGAACGACATGACCCAGCAAAAAGTTCCATGACCTCCCTGAATGCTGCTATTTTATTATTTGCTTCTCTGTTCTGTCTTGTTGTTACATCGTCAAATCGACAGCATCGATATAGTAGCAGAAATCTGTTGCAAGCCATTGTTGCCGCAAATACTGGACGTGCAAACAATCCTTCATTTGTCCACAAATCTCGAATGTTTTCTCGCTTGCTTTTGAAGACGCCTGCCAGGAGTAGTAATCCGCAGAACGCTTACATCTCAACTGTGTCAGTTGGCACCCATTCAAGGCGATTAGTTTCCTCTCTATTTTGGTTCTTTTCGGCAAACAGTCTGCTACCATAATTATTAGTCTGTTCTACAACGATCTGAAGTATTGCTTCCGAAAAGAAAAGTTCAAAAGCACCCTTTATGTCAGGTGTGTTTTGACTTCTCGGCTTCAGACCAGCAGCCTCGCACAAAATGTTCTGATTACGTGCTCGACTTTGACGAGGGGCTTCTTTTCGCCAGACTGTGCCGTCGGATGCAGTGAATTGCTCTGCTTCCAAGTCTGTATCTGACGGCATACTAACATCTTCATCGACATCGTCATTGCCTGATTCACTGGCTACATCCTGCTGTTCTGGCTCCTTTTGTGAATTATCATCACTATCAACACTTTCAACGTCATCTGTATCGTCAACATCATCTTCACTTTCTGATTCAGATCTTTGAATTAGTTCAATAACTTCTTGAACATTACGATATATGCGTTTTGCCATTGCACTTATAAGTTTATAACTGTGACATCTAAATCTAAAACAGAACATATATGGTGATTAATATATAGCAAATAGCAGTTAAAATGGATAAAATAATAAATAATATATAACAATATACTAATAGAAAGCGATAAACAAATGTAGCTATGTAATTTAATTAAAAATCATTGGGGTCAGCTTTGACCCCTTTTGGGCACTCTTGCAAAATGCCTATTTAGGGCGTTTGAAGGTTAAGAAGAGACTTATTCCATTCATCAATAGGTATCTTTCAGATGTTACAATGGCCAGATTTAGCATCATCTCACTATGCAAAAATTAGTAATTTTGTACCTAAACAAGGAAAACGTGCATTATGTTGAGAAAGCGGATAACCTTGCAAACTTGCCACAATGTCGCCCTACCGAAAATTTTTAAAGTATTTTGAAAGGCTTTGTATACAAAAATAATTGACATACAGAAAATTAAAAAAAATTTCGTTCTAGAATCAAGTATTACCTTAATAAAATTGATAATGAGCTCATACGAAGACTAGCTTAGTCTATATCAGGCCTAGTTAATAAAGTCAGAAGAAATGGTTTAATTAAGAACAACTGATTATATATTTAAAAAGTAGAATAAAAATACTTTCTAGAACATTTTTTTTTTTGTTTTATCTTATTTCTTTAAAAAGATATGTGTCTTTAAATCCAGTCTCGTTTTTTAGTTGTCACCCGTTAGGCTATCTCGCTGGATGTGGTTATGGAGTTCAGTAACTTAATTACTGCGCTGACACTCACGCACACTACAATTTGGCTTCACAATATATGTTGTATCAGCGCTTGCTAATTGTGCTCGGATCTAACATTTCATTTCATAGCACATCATTCTACACCAATACGATGCCCTCGCGTTTTTATTAAGAGTAAATGCTTTTAGCCCACGTTAACTAATGCCTGAATTTGATCAATCGAAATTCGTTATGTAGGTCTTACATCTGGATTTTATGTGCTAGCTAAGTAATGCAAGAAGTTGATGTTGTCAGCTTGCTAAGAACCCAATTCGATAGTGGAAAAAAACATAATGAGATCTTACCAGTAACCAAACGGAAATTACTAATGCACCCCACCATCACTCCTGTAGACATTTCCAATACCACATTTTTCCCATATATATATATGAGAAGTATAATAGAAGGCTTCATTATTATCCTTGTAATATTTTTATTATCATATTTGAATCATTATAAGGTAGACCCCGCCGTTTTGCGATATCTACATACAGGCTGCTTATGAATCTATTTGTAACATAATATTTAATTATAAAGATACATACTATTTCGACATGCTTATTAGCTTTTGAGTCACCCAAATTAGGGTGGACGATTATCTATTTAGACTTTTTAAGACAATCATACAGAACAAAAGTTTAAACCAAACTATCACACCTGTAGACGTTTACAGTTTCAAATAACACTAAATTGGTACTTCTCGCTATTATTTTATTTTTAAATTTTTTTGTCCTTTCTAATATTATATCCTAATACTACATTTTGCTGGTTTGCTTGAGTTTCTTGTAGTGCAGTGGTTCATTGTGTCGTCTATTGTGTCAGTAATGCACATGGTACTAAAAAAAAGGCAACACACTCCAACTTAACGCAAAATATGAAAAAAGCAAATTCACAATACTGAAAAATAACAAGCATATATTTATCAAGTCAACTTAAGGGTCAACCTGGACAAAATTTGTAAAAAGCAGTGTTTGGTATTGTTTGAATTGCTTTTTTATGTAGATTTTGCAGGAAAAAGTCCACCAAATAACTTTTTGGGCAAATTGTTTAGACTATTTCTTGTCGCACTCACCTTTTGTGTAAAAATGTCATTTTTAAGTACTCAGGCACCATGGCGTTTACAAGAACAATCGTTGTTGTAAGATTTCTTTGGGGCAATACTACAGTTACACTGGATAATACTAAGAATTTGCTCTTGTGCTGAAGCAAAATTTGCTCTTGTGCAAGAAATAAAATACATTTTTTTTAACTGGCTAATTTATAAACCGAAAAATTACTCATTCAAATTTCTTTTTATTTCTTTACCTTATCTGCCATTATTGGGACCAAAATATTGCTTTGATTTCTCTATCCCCTCTCAGTTGGTTCGAGTTCAGTATTTAATCATTGCAAATTCTACAAGTATACACTTATATAATGATATCTTATAGTATTATCTGTTGTTGGAAGTCTTTCTGGTTGAATATCTTTAACGGACGATATGGCCATTTGCATTATATTTTCTTTCTGGTTGAATATCTTTAACGGACGATATGGCCATTTGCATTATATTTTCTCATCATTGTAAGGATTTCTTTTTCGTTTTTTCTACCTAAGATTTGATTTTCAAAAATTAAATAAAAGTTTTGTTTTTTAATGAAACTTTGTTTTCATAACTAGTTTTTTTAATACTCTAGATCACCTTAAGCTTTCATAATAAACTGTAAAGATGCGAAGTGCCATCGATTTTTTTGGATTCCGGGACTCCGAGCTCAAAAATCATAAACTCCATGGACTCCGACTTTGGAATATTTTTTTTTCTTTAATTAAAGTATGTGGTTTTTGTTATGTCGAACTTAAACGTGAAAATTCCGGACAAATGAGAGGGTACCAAATAATATTTTTTGTTATGAGTTATTTATATATGTTTATTTTAGGTACCATAAAAAGTCCTTACGGTTTTACAACAGAGTACCTTGTAAAAGCAATTAACAGAAAATTTACTTCTCTTTCCTACAAGACGTCGTAAAACTAAAGATAGGTTTGAACCAAGGATCCTTTATTTTTTTTAGGAAAGTGGCTACCACTGCACCACGGCTGCTTAAACCTAAAAGTTAATTTGTCCCGCTTTTGCTGGATAGTAAAAATATTAAGAACAAAACAATTTCAAAGATTTTTATTTGATTTGTATTGTCGTACGCACAGATTTCTCAGATGTCGCACTCAATTTCTTAGATTAGTTAAAACCACATGATCATAAAATATTTAAATGTTTATTTACATTAATTACACACCAAATTTTAAAGTTTGAAGGTCAAAGTATTGCAATATTTACATCATCAAAAAATATTCAAATAAAAAAATTGTAACTTTTACCTTTTTTTGGGTAGAAGACATTTTTCCGTGAAAGCTGTTGTTGCGCAAAATAATTTATATTTATTTGTTTAGGTATTTTTATAAGCTTTTATGGCGCAAAAATCACAGACAAACTTGATTTTTTATTGCATATACTTATTTTGTTAATGAAATTTGATAGCTTTTTGTATTTTAACCATATCGCTTTCATTGTGATTTTTCATTAGGCATTATTAAAATAATATATTTTATTTTTTTAGCAGAGTAGAATAAAAACCAATGTACATAATTATATTACCTCACGCTATTTTGGGTTAAAATTAAAAGAAATAAAAAGTTTTTTTTTCCGAAATAGTATTTTCAAGCATAATTTATTATAATTATAATTTCTTTTATAGTTTACAGTTCTAAATAGTGCTTCGACAAAACAAAAAATATATCGACAATTTTTTTATATTTAATTATTATTATTAATTCATTACTTAATAATAATTTAAATAATAAATAAAACACAGTATTCATCGTAAAGTTCTTTTATAAAAACAAATGATTTTAATTATATTATTATATAAGTTCATTCATTTTTCTTCTTCTTTATGAATGGAAATGTATCGTATATGAAAATATCAACAATCGCTTTATTAACAAGTAGGAGAGTGACATTTAAAAAGACATTGGTAATTAAACTTCGAATAGTTGGACACTTTTTTTAAAATAACTTGACTTTGGTATAATATTCGACGACTGCTTATAACCTAGTTCATCATTTCTAACCGACGTTCTTGCTATGATCAATCTAAAAATTAATTGATAACGAAAAAACTTATGTATAAAAGCAACTTCAACACTAAAATATTTCTAAATTTGCTAAAAATTTAAAAAAAATTAGACAACTAAATTCTCAAGCATATCATTTTTTTTTGCATGTCAGAATGTTAACTTCCTGTTTTTTTAGAGAAAGGGGGCAACAACCCCCTTCTCATACAACCCGTGAAAGTACCCTTGGGTCTCAAAATTTGATGATGAAGAAATATTTTAATAAATAGTTAATCATAAGTACTTGTTTAATGGGTCAAAAAAATTAATTGTTTTAAGATTTTTAATAAATTAACAAAAATCATCTAAAATGAACATTATTTGCGAATAAAAGTTTATAAACTAAAAAAAAATAAAACTTAACATTTAATATGATTAAAGTTTTAAACTTAAAACACTTTATTTTCTTCAAATAGTTTTAACAATAACAAAAATTTATTAAACAAACTGTTTCTTTAACAAAAAC